GAGATCAACCACAATGAAAGATAAAGGGTTTCTAGTAACATTACTCAGAGTGAGACTTTTACAAAAGGGATGTCCAGCAGGAGATAACTGCAGTTAGAGCAGAAGGAAGAAAAAAATAAGCAATCTGAATGAAGAGAGTAAGACATGAGATGTGTGGAGGTATTTGTAAAAGAGGAGGCACTAGAACAGACTGCCAAGAGAAACTGTACATTATCCATTCATGGAAATTTTCAAGTTCAGGCTGGACTGGGTTTTGAGCAACCTGGTCTAGTAGAAGGCGTCCCTGCCCATTGAAACAAGATGATCTTTAGTGTGCCTTCCAACCCAAACCATTCTGTGATTCTATGATTGTCTTGCAGCTGCATAATCTGCTTGCTCCATTGTGACCACTCACTGATAGAATCACTTTACTCACTTTTCCAATGACAGCAGCAGTTTTGGTGGATGTGACAGTAAAGTGTCATGAGGAGAACCATCAAGATGGATGCGCAAAATTTCAACCAGAGAACTGCAGAAACTACTTTTTCCCCTCTGGTGTGCATTAATAATAATAAAGGCATATTGCCATTGCATTCAGCACTTTAAAATCTCTTCTGCGCATTTATTAGAATTTTAAACCTTTATAATTTGGAAGACTGTTTTTCAAAAGGGAAAAGTTGAAATGTCAGGCTGATAGTAAAACAGTGCACTAACAGTCAAGATAAAAGGGAATTTTTTATATGTATAAACAAAGTAAAATTGCTTTATTCACATGGACTTCACAATGCACCTCACTGAAGCATTAGAAACCTTCCTAACCATGGGGAAAGAAATAGATATCAATTGCATCACTCTGAGACTGGCAGGGCAAAAAAAAAAAAATAAATCTGAATGTTTATTTTCAATTGGTCCAGAACTGACTTTATTTTGTCACCAGATGTTGCCTTATGAACTTTTAGTCAATATGAAACATTTCACCTGGCAGGAACACCCATGTGCTTTCTTGCTTCTAAAAGGTTTCTAAAAGAAACCAAGACACCAAGTTTGATCAAACATCCCTATTTAAGACTTGGAAACATTAAAAGCACTCCTATTAAAGCAAATGAGGGGAGAATAGCAATGAAGAATGCTAAATCAGTAAAAAAAACCCCAATTCTTTTCTTTCTTTTAATGGATACATGTAAAATATAAAATTTACAACCAGATTAAGTTGTGCCAAACCCTCCTCAGCTTTAAAACCATAGATCCAGGATCATTTGACACCTGTTGTGTGACATCCTGTTTAATACTGCTGGGCTGAGAAATTGCCACTTCTGCTACTCTTGAGCCATCAAAAATGCAGATCTGAAGAGTTTCACAAAGTCCTTGGGAACAGATGCTTTTCTTCTGGTTTATTTCTGTTTGGCAATAACCATTTAGAATGGAGCCCTCAGTACATCCCATACTATTTCCAGATGTCAGTTCAGCATCTTTTTAGATGAGAATCTCAAGAAAAAGGGGGTTGGCTACTGTGAACAACAAAGTCCAGCTCCCCAGATGAGCACGCAAAACTGATATTAATATCAAATATCAAGAATGACATATTAGTTTTGCACCAGCAAAAGAGAAATAAGGGAAAAACCTGGAAAACACCTGTCAATTTCCATCCTTGACTATCATATATGTTCTGAGTTAAATTAATTCCAGCCCCTGTATCATGATCATAGCAGTCCATCCCAACCACATGTGGGGTTAAGCAACACACTGGGATGGAAATCCTTAAGAATCACTGTACCTGTTATTTTATTTGTAATGAGAAGTATTTGGTTTTCATTGTGGTATCAGGGTTATATCAGGAGCAAATCCTCATTAATTGTGAACTTTTTCGAACACAGGAGACCTTCACGTAGAATTGCAGCAGTTTCTATGTACTAAATACTGCAAGAATCATAATGGCCTTGGCTCATATTTTGTTAGCAAGGGCAAATTTCCTTTAAAGAAAGAACTAATTACTTCTGCTTCAGATTCCAAACTCCCTCCAGGTTGCATTGTAATGAGATTCAAAAGACACTCCAGAAGTGAGTTGAAAGCACATTTGGCATTTTTAAATATGCATTCAGATAAACTCAATAAATCTGTTGATACACTGTTATCTATTGCTCTATACAATACCCTGACATGTTATTCTTTACAGAAAATCTGCCATTAAACACTCTGCATTTTTAGTAAAAAAATGCAAAGCGTTCATCAGGGACTAACGACATATGAATGTGGAGAAGCTCCTTCTTCACAGCAAAAGAAAAGTAAAATAAACAGCAAAAGTACAAAAGACAGTTAAAAAAACCCAACAAACTCAAATGAAAACGCAAAAGAGGCAATAAGTAATGACTTCCATATTGCATGGATTGAAGCCTCACCTGTTGTGAGAATGAGACAGCATTAAAAGCTAGATTTAAAAGAAGAAAGACAAACATTCTTAGAGAAGCACTGAGGCTCTCTTGATTGTATAAATGTGTACTTCTATGCTGAAAGCTCTCTTTGTGGCAATGGCATCTTTATATTCAGCAGGATTGCATCACCATTCATATCACACAGAGTGTTTTACTAGAGTTTGTTCTCATTAGCTCTGTGCAAACAACTGAACTAAGAGTGAGAACACTGAATCCTATTCTTTCTTGAGCATTGTTTACCAGATCTCTCACTAACTTCCAATCAGTTCCACCTCTGCAATTTTATTGAAGGCAATGAGTTTCCACAGGTATTGTCATATACCATAATTAGAAAGCAGTCTCAGTTCAGTGAGACTTTATTGGCTTGACAAGCCATACAGAGCTTATAAGTGTGTAAGAGGAGAGAGAACATTGCCAGCACTGTCAGAAATCAAGTAACATCCATCTAGGAGAAAGTGATTTTTGAGCCTGAGCTTTGAACTCCTGTGCTGTCTGTCAATATCTGCAGTGCACAGGAGTTAAACAACCTCCCCTCTTATATTTGTGATCACTTAGTAATCTTCATATTCATGTTTCAGGTCCCAGATAAAAGAGTTGCCATATCAGTTCTGGTTTCATATTCCTTAAGCACATTTAATTGATGTAATTTTTTTTTCCTAAGCAACAGTGTGCATTCTATTCTCTATCATTCCTTTGTTGTTTTGTAATAACCCTTATGAGTAGTGATAACACACACACAAAATTGTTGTTCTGCTTCTTCGTATTTTGGTTAGCAAAGCAGATAATCTCAGCAACCTGCCTGAACGTTTGCTGTTGCACTCCAGTACTCCCCTAATGTCAATGACAAGCCTGGGGCTCTTGGAAAGAAAATTAACATCTCAGTTAGATTGTCTGCAGGGATTTTCTAAGAGTTTCTCAGTACCAGGTATCTCTTTTCTATTGTTAAGAAAATTTCCCAGTGTTGACCATTCACCAGACTCTCCACCAGTCACACTCCCAGTGTCACAGACTGTCGCTGCTGGGGCTGTCATCCCTTCACAGGGGTGGCTCCAGTGACCTGACAGGTCCCTGCACACCACTCACAGTCAGACCAGGTTTCCTCACCAGCTCAGTCCCAGGATTTCCATAGCAGAGTCTCAGATGTTTCATTCCATAAAGCCATTTATCCACAGTGCAGTAACACAGAAACAGCCTGAGCTGGTGCCTCCAAGGAGGGACCCTGAGCTAAGGAACCCCTGGGCTCTTATCCCCTCACAGTCCAAGAGCACCAAAGTCTTGCTCTTCCTCCTGACCCATCAGCTCCTGCTGTGTCTCTCAGTGTCCCTCACCTGGCTGTGCCACAGGTCCCTGTGCCCTTTGCTGTGCAGTTCACAGCCTCTTGTCTCAGGCTCCCACCCAGAGCTACCTCAGGTTATATTCCCCACACAATGAAGTCCTGCCTTGCTTTGACAGTTGCCTCACCTATTTTTGACTGATCTAAATCCTTCTGGGAATATGGATTTCATCACCAGTTCCCTGATGAGACTTGGCAATAGCATAATTGTGAAACATGTTGCCACTTAAATCCTCATTTTACTCACTTTTGCTATTGACATATGTCCCCCTGTACCCACTTTCCATACAAAACAAACCCAGATTTAAGTAATTCCTGCCCCATGTTTCTTAGTTTGTTGAATTAACTCCATGAAATATTCCGTCATGATCAATAATAGGATGATAATAAAAACCATACATAACCTTCCAGCTATATCCCTGTTGTCCCACTGCACTGTTTGCCTCCTGGACAGCCTTGTGGACAGTTTCCTTCTAAATCCTTTAGGTAACCCAGCTACTCCTTCCCATAGGTACTTCTGACCTTGTAATCAAATGGAAAGACCATAATCTCCTTCCTCATATTTGCTCATTCAGCTGCCTAAAATGAGGTTCCTTTGCCAATTTACTCCTACAGCATAACTATGCTCAAGTAGTCTCCTTGCTCCCATACTTTCTTCTGACTAAATGAATCCCTTATCAGTGTTTCCCCCTTTGCCACCATCTTTGCAGCTTCTTTATTTCTATTTCTCTTTTTTCTTTCCAGTTACAATAACCTCCAGATGATTAGCTTTAGTTAAAGCTCTGTCAAAAGTTGTGCCTTGGTACTGGTACATACATTTTTACATTCATTTGCATTCAGTTCAAAATACTTAAGCACATATGCATTAAAATCCTGGAGACTTGCTTTTGGGAAAGTAAGCTATGTCCATACTTCAGATATTATGGCTCTGCATCAAAATATAAGCACAGAGGCCTCCACTAGGTTTCAGAGAACTCTGGATTTCCTAGAGTCATACTCAGCTGCATGAAATCATTAATTAACACTATAGCCTTTGTCAATGGAAAATGGGGACACTGACTTTCAGCAAGGTAAACTTCATTTTTAGAGGCAGGTAGAGCTGGAATAGTTTCTGGTTCAGTGCTCATGAATTCAAATGCAGGTTTTAATAGTTACCTCTCTAAAGCCCTAGAAAAGTAATTTTACCCATTTATTTCTTTATGAGACTATTACTCCATTTTTGTACTGAAATAATTAGGTGTTTTAAAGCATGCCCTTACCACGGAAATACCTTATTTCTAGGAAATGATGGTGTGACCTCTCTCACATCTTTCTTCTTCTGCCCCTTCTCCAAACTCTCCAAACCTCATATGCCATCCAAATGCAGGAGAAAAGTGAAAGGGTGTGGAGAGATGTAACAGTCTGTCAAAACAGAAGTCAAGAAGGAAACAGTTGAGCAGGTAATTTACCTTTGAAGCAAAAAACCACAAATAATAATAATAATAATAAAAAAACCACAGGCATGAAAATTCAAGGAAAAGCCTCAAACTCTCCTTTTCCATAGAGAATATATATATATGAACCTTTTAAAAAAAATCAAAGCTATTGCCTATGAGTTCACCTCATCAGGAAAGAAAAAAAAAGGATAGTTCATTTATACATAAGTCAAGAAAACAAACCAAGACAACATCACCTCCTTCCACTTGCAAGTTTCCTGGCCCATCCTGCTGCCAATCCACTCTGAACACCCAGAGCTGCGGGACCCTCCTGCATGCCAGGGAGCAGATGAAGCCTGGCAGCTCTGAGGGAAGCAGCCTCTGATAAAACCCTTTCCCACTTCAACAGCTGCTGCCAGTCATCTCATCACAGGCATGTCAGGCATGGAAACTATCAGCTCAGTTTGCCCCTTAGAGGTATAAATAAAGTGTTTACAAAGTTCTCTGTAAGAAGTTATTTCTCACTATGATTTTTTCAAAAGTTTCTTTCAAATTAAATGGAATGCAGGATTTGAAAAGAAGAAGAAAAATACTTGGTAAAATTTATAAAAGAAATGAACAGAGAAGTGGTGTTTCTTTCATGAAATGACAGAAAGTTGATGCTGTTCTTCTAGGTCTTTGCTTTTATTTTCCTTCAAAATGGGTTGAGATGAAAAAATAACAAAAAATTATGTAAGATGAAAACCAGAGGATGTTCTTTTCATAAAGATCTTTTAATTCCCTACTACCTTCCCACTCAAGAATCTGAACCTTGTTTTATAGATAACTTTATGTCCCCAAATAACTTTTTCTCCTTATAAAAGTCAATCCCTTCTCTAATGTAAAATATGCTTAGGTAGAGCAGATTGTTGCATAAAGTAACACTGAGTAAGCCAATATATTAAAATGGTTAGCTAGAATTTTCTGCTGAAATTTACAGAGAAAAAATAGTATTGGTAATCTGCAAACCCTTAGATACATATTCTGAAGTCCCATATTTTAGAGCAATTCAGATCTAGGATTTTAACTTTTCATCCCTCATTAAGCTTCCTGTATACTGAAAGATGACCTGCTCTCCACTGATCCTGGGAACAATTATGCACATGCTAAAGTTAATATGCTGTAAGTAATCATTGCAATGACCCTTGGTGCATATAAAATTAAGTAGGCATGTATATCCTAGTAAGTTTTAGGCCACAGTTTATTTTACCACACAATTTATATTTTTGTCACTTTGTTTAGATTGGTAACGAAGAACGGTAAGAGAGGCCTTTGTGAAACTTGGAGAAATCAGAGACAACAACAAATTGTGTGAGTCACCAGCATAGCCTGCCTCTTTCTACAATATCTAGGCAAATAGTGATTATTAAGATTTCTTTCATTTCTAAATAAATTGTCAGCATAGCTAAAATGCTAACTGAGAAGTTTCTCTGGCCATTTCTTCATGAAAAGTATTCTCCAAGCTAACTCCTTTGGGTTTTATCAGGAACTCACCAAATTCAGTCACTCTCTGCACACACAGGGATCTCATTGCATGAAACTCATTGCACGCAGCCTGAGCAGGACCTTTAGAAGAAAAATGGTTCTGTCTCTCCTTGTAACTTCACCAGAAAAAGACCTGAAGGCTTCGCTTCAAGATCCTGAGATATATGGCAGCCAAGAGACCAGCTTGCAGCCTTCTGGTTTTGTGAGAGTATTTGGAAGCTTGGATCCTGCCAGAAGGGAGATTCATCACAGGGAATTCTATGATGCTCTGCAGCACAAACACTTTTAGAGGAAGAACTTATGTGTCAGGAATGCAAATTAAAATACCTATTCTCTATAACAGCTCTCAGGTAACAAGAAATAGTGTTATAAAGAAAAAATATGTGACAAAGACGAGCAAGCAAAATTTTCCAGAAACTTTTGCAAAGAAGAAATAACAATACTGTTCCCCACTCACTGAATGATATAATGGTGACTGCAGAGACTGAGAGAGACAAGAAGGAACAAAAAGGAAGAGAAAAGAAGCAATGCAAAGGAGTTACAAACTTAGTTTTCCAGTTTTGAAAGTCATTGAAGTGCGGCCCTTTTGGCTTATTTGCAAAGCCTGTAGCAAACACAGCAGAACAGTGTGGAAGTTCAGCTGTGACTCCCTGTGTATGTAGATTGCACAAGGACTTGATCTTCTTGAAACAGCAATGTTAAAAGCAACACTTCTATGAGAACAGGTAGCTTTGCATCTGTATCATTTTACTTAAGTATCCATCAAGTCTTCCATAAATTTGTGAAAACAGAATAGACACTAAATAACACCAGACATCAGGAGTGCCAGTTCTTGAAATGAAGAAAATTCCTAAAATCATGAAAAGCAAAACTCTCAAAGGTATCTTAAAGACTCAAGTATGTCTTTCTTACAGTCCAGTCAGAAAAAAAAAAAAAAAATTAATCTCCATTTTCTTTTAATTTATCCTTTAGAATTAAGAAAAACTGTCTCTTTCACCAAAGAAGCACGTGAATTGTATGTATTTTTGCATGACAAAAGTATGGGACTACAAATCCCCAGGCTCCATAAGAACCCTCAGTGACCGTCTGGATGATCAGTCCAGATCATCCCCTCACAGCTCCCTGATGTGAGCCTCACTCCCAAATTACTTGTGCCTTGTTTTTAACAACATATATTTCTGTGGCTAGCAAGTCTGGCCTCCCCTTAGGATCCTCACCTTCCCATTTTCCTTATTTCCCCAAGGGCAAGTCCCTTTTTACAGGAAGTAAATAGTTAATGGCATTCCCCTGTCTTCTCCTCACAGCCTCCTTTGTCATCCAAAGGCTTGGAAGCATCTCCTACATGTGGCAGCATGTAGTATGGTCTAATTTAATGTGTGAATTTCAGCTCATTCTTATTCAACAACAGCATTCAAGCATATGTGAGCATTTCTGCTTGTGGGTAGGTTCTACTGAAGTCAGCAGGGTTGCAAACACAACTTTAAAGTCTTGCTGGATCATATTTACTTCAGAGTGATCTCCTCGGTGCCTGGCCATGGTGTGAGCAACAGGAGCCAGTTCAGTTCTGAGCAGATATTCCCCTGATGCACTGAACAGGGGATTACATAGATATGCATATATGCCTGTGTATACACATGCACAGCTATAGATATATGTATTTTTGGGATGCATATACATCCCACACACATTGCTTTTGACAAGATATGAACAGTGCAGCTCTTCTTCCAAAATCCCAGCTAATTTCATGTTAAGACATCATCACACTGACTCGGGTGGAAAAAAATGCCACTGAAAGCTTTCAAAGTTTAGCCTAATACACCAGCTTTGTTTGAAAGACTTTGGCCTCAGACATAAGGCCTTGATTTGAACACTGACAGACTTCCTGACAGACACCTGATATGGACACTAACAGACTTGCCCTGCTCACAGTCCAGTTCTTCCCAAGCAGGATGTTGTGGTCCTTTGAGCATCTCTACCAGCTAGACTTTGTTCTCCTGTCAGGGCAGGAAACCTGCTGTCTCCAGACTTGGCTGGCAGCCTGGCTGCCTCCTGCTGCTGCCCGGGAGCCCTCAGGCAGCCCGTGCTCACCAGCTGCCCGTGCTGCCTGCCAGAGCCCATGAGGGAACCGTGTGCCACCTGGCACGGGAGCCCCCCTGCCTGCCGCCCCTGCCCAAGCCCAGTGACCCCCCACACATCAGAGAGGTGCCATAAGATCCGGTTTATCACTCTGCCAAAGCTGCCCAAGCCCTGTCCTCACTTCAGCCTTCCCTGAGACCTTGGACAGCCCTGTGCCAGCAGCAACTGCTGCTCTTGCTCCAGCAGACGCTGGTGGCTGCCAGCCGTGTGGAGTGGCAGCCCTGGTCTCTTCCAAGCAGCTCTGCCACCTGCCCTTCTCCTCCAGCAGCTGTTGAGCTATTCCTGCTCACCTCTGCCTCCCCTTGGGTCTCACCCCGTACGCTGGGTTGCAGTGAGTGACCCTCAGGCCCTACAGTTTATCCACTCAGTGTCCCCGGTTCCTCTCTCAGGGATAAGGCGATGGCTGCTGCTGCTCACCTTTGCTGGGGTTGGTGAAAACCTCCACCTCCCACCACTGCTGCATTCTTCTCTTCCTTGCTCCCTGAAATGCCATGTCTCCCAGGTGTTTAGTCCTTCACATGCTTTGGGCACTTAGTACATAAAGGAAGGGCCAATCTGTCAAAGGAAGGGCAGTCACTGCTATTGCTCTGTGACATTTGTATCTTCAACCCTTGTCATCTTGCCAGATGTTGCAGAAATACTCAAAGAGCTTCTAAAACAGTAAGAAATTTTGAAAAGTTTTTAATCTGTTCTACATGACTAGTCATGGAACCCACATTATTTATTCTAATAAACTCTACTTGTATTTAATGTCATGCAGAAATAGAGTCTGCATATTGAAATGCTTGGAGTGATCTCTTGTTTCCTAGTCAGTACACGAAAGTGCTACAGTAATAACAATTCCTCCTTTCTAAAGAGAAGATGTTTCTAACCCTAGATGCCTTGGAATCCAGATTCACCAGGTTTACCTATGCCCATGTTCCCTGGGAGATGAGCATTTCTCACTGTTCCCATGGTGTGAGTGGACTGTGAAGGCTTCTGCAAACCTGTCCCTTGTGCCTCATCCCTGAAACCCTGCCCTGAAGCTCTAGAAGGAAGGAATTGCACTCAGAAGTTAACATTACTTCTCAAATTTTTAACCTGAAGCAAATGTTCAATGAAATATGAAAGAGATGCAAGAGCAAGAAGAAGTTAATGCAAAATTAATTTGCCAAAAGAGAATCAGAAATGCCAGGCTCAACTATGAGTTTAGCCATGGAAAAGGTAATTTCAAAATAAAAAAATAACTAAGACAGGAGAAAGAGGTGTGTAGGAGAAGGAGGAAATAAGGTAAGAAACAAATAAAGGGAGAGACATATTTGTCCTGAGTAGTCTTTTATCTGATTC